TAATTTATTTAACACGAATATTTCGTCCACTCCTGTGGACTTCATCAGCGTGAGTGATATACATTAGAGATACTTAGCTACAAGTTGCCTGAAATTTAATTGGCCTATCAACAAAGCATGGGCGGTACTAAAACTTAATGCGAAATAAACAAAACTAGTAAATAAATATGTATATATATATATATATACATACATGCATGCATGCATGCACGCACGCACGCACGAACGAACAAACGAACGAACGAACGAACGATGGTCACGGTAGAATTATTACTAATTCATCTGTGTACTGTTCTTAAACTCTATATTATCTTGTTAATTGATATTTTTAACACTAATTATAAATACAACATTTACATATACTCTATTTGCATATTTATTAGGTATTGGAATCTTGTGTGAAGAATTGTGGGATTGAATTCAATGAAGAAGTTTCCAACAAACTGTTTATGGAAGAACTTAAGGAATTGCTTTCAGTAAGTCATGATTGCTTAAGTTTTCATATGATATGGTTATTAATTTATTGTTACCTTAATTTCTACCAGTACTATTATCTATTGTCATCACCATCTTTATTAATATAGTCATTATAACATTGTTATTACTATATTGCACATTTTTTTTGCAAGTATTTGGAATCGTACTATGTACTCGGTACGATAACATGTCAGGTAGGTCAAAAACATCACTCCTATGTATATTCCTGATGTAAATTCAATCCAAAATGTGATTATTATTATTATTATTATTATTAAACTAACTTTTGGTACAATACTGTATGTGTTAAATTATGGTTCTGAGAAAACTTTTGGTTTGTTGTCTCAATGTCAGGGGTAAAGGTCGGAGAGTAATGTACAGCTTGCAGCATCATTGTGCTAATTTTCACATGTCATAGTATAGCATAGTCTGTGAATACTATAGCAGCCGTAGATAGTAGATTTATGTTCACTTCATTCCACAATGATGAACGCTGATTGAACCAGAGCATTGGGGTTAATCTCTGAAAGGTCAATTGATTCTTTAAAGAGCACACGATTACTAATTACCATACAAAAATCATGTTTTTCACTTGTTAGTCTGGTAATGAAGAACTGAAGAATAAAATACTTGAACTGATTCAAGCATGGGGAACTGCATTCCGCAACGAACCAAAAATGAAGACAGTAGTGGATATGTACAACCTATTGAAACTTGAAGGTAGATTTGTTTTCTGTATTGTTGTGATAATTCACTGTTGAATGATTAATTTATGCTTGTGCTGCATGTTGGATGGATAGATGGGTGGATTTATTTGGTGTAAACACCGGACCATATCGTACATTTTATATTGCTGTTTCTCTAGGGATGGATTAACAAGCTTGTGAGCTACAGTGATTTTAATTGTTTTTCTTAATCCTTGCCTTCTTAGATTTACAGTTTTATTCTGTATTGTGAATTTTTGTTTTTTTTTTTAGTTTTATTTTTGCTGTATGTACAAATTGTATTGTGGTATTTATAAAAGGCTGAATAAAGAATGAATGAATGAATGAGTGTACTGCGTTCTGTAACATGCACATGGGTCATAATGCACACAGGACCAATGGCTCTCTTCCAAAAGACGGTGCGCTATCATAACTTGAATTTCAGCCCTCCAGCTGAAACACAAGGAGAGCAGCGATGGGAATTGAACCGGGGACCATTTAAGCCGACTGAGCTACTCTGCTCTGTTCACTTTGCAAACAGGTAGATAAGCTATTCAGCATAACTGTGACTTGCAAATGTTCAAAGTTTTGTGCATTTGATCTTGCACACGAGTCATCCTTAATAGCTCACGTCATGCACCCCAAAAGCAAAAACTTGGACATAAGATTTAAGGCCCAAAACAGATGTATATTTTAAGTTAGTATCACTTTTGTGTATACTATTTTTCTCTATTTAAGGCCCAAAAACCGATGGATATCTTGAGTTAGTAACACTTTTGTGTATATTATATCTCTATTTCCAATAGCAATGCGCTTTTTTACTGTGCCGGTTAGTGAAAAGTTTGATGTTCTTTACAATGTGTTATGTTAAATTTTATTCATGAATAATGTAATAAGATTATTCTATTCTCATATTTTGACTCTTGGCTACAATGTAAATTTAAATAAAATTCTTGAATCAATTCTTATATTAATGAACAAATAAATGATCAAATGAAAGGAAGAATATCTTTTGTACCTTGTGTTATTATGGACTTTGTTATATTTATTTCATCCCAATTTGTTGTAAAATTTAAACTATTTTCTTCTATTTTCCAAAGGTCATACATTCCCTCAACAGAAGGAGAGCGAAGCAATGTTTGCATCTGAAAAAGCTCCTGAATGGATTGATGGTGACAGATGCTTCAGTTGTAGGACTGAGTTTGGAATCACTGTTCGTAAGGTAAGAACGTGCATGGTGAAAGTACGGACTACCAGAGAGAGCTGTGTATAGCAGTGTTCTGCAACCTTTTAGAGAGGCGACCCAGTTCAGAAATCCATAATTAATCGCAGTCCACTCACCCCCTTATCCACACATGCCTAATGCAGAGAGGTAGCCTTAGTGCACCATTTGGGACTCGGATTTAAAATTTAGATTTTAACAAGGTCTCGAAAGCTCCAATGAGGGCAGTATAATAAAGGCAGTGAAGTATATTGGCCCTAATTCTCCTCATTGGAGCTTCTTCTTCTTATCGAGTCACTACGTAGCTAGTGTGTATGATCTAGCTTACGTAGTGTGGTAGAAGGATTCGCAGGTAGGATGGATACTGGACATGGGCCGCGTCGTGAGCGCTCCTTCTGTGGCCGGACAGGGGACTAGAGATGGACCAGTACACCGGGGTAACCCCCTACTCTTCTCGAATGGTGCACACAAGCCAATTGTGTACACTGGACCTACATTTTACAGTCCTTATCCGAGAAGAGCGAGCGTGCCGTTCGAATCAGTGCCGATATTATGGCTGTATGTCACGGTTCCCCTGTCTTAACCGCTCGGCCAATCGACTCGCCTCATTGGAGCTAAAAAGATCTCTTAATCAATCAGCCTAGTGTTTTAGAGCTTCTCATCAGAGCTAATGATAATTAAAAAAATTGGCCCTAACAGCCACCTATACAAAAAAGAGAATAAAAAAGGTCTATTAATCATTCAGGCATGTATACCTAGAGCTCCCCAATCAGCCGATTATTTCTAGAGCTTGTCATCGCAACTAGTGGCCCTAACGGCCGCCCATACAAAAAAGAGAATGAAAAAAGGTCTATTACTCATTCAGGTATGTATACCTAGAGCTCCCCAATCAGCCGATTATTTCTAGAGCTTGTCATTGCAACTAGTGGCCCTAACGGCCGCCCATACAAAAAAGAGAATGAAAAAAGGTCTATTACTCATTCAGGTATGTATACCTAGAGCTCCCCAATCAGCCGATTATTTCTAGAGCTTGTCATCGCAACTAGTGGCCCTAACGGCCGCCCATACAAAAAAGTGAATGAAAAAAGATCTATTAATCAATCAGCTGGGTATTCCTAGAGCTTCACAATCAGCCGAGTGTTTCTAGAGCTTCTCATCGGAGCTATTTGCCCTGATGGCTGCCCATACAAAAGGAGAATGAAGAACATCTATTAGTCAACCAACTGGGTATTCCTAGAGCTCCTCATCGGAGCTAAAAAAAGATGATAGTAGCCACATTGTACTTTGTTGTATCATTGCAAATGGACAACAAAGTACGCAGATTGATTGCTTCATTTAATTTACAAAACAACGTTTTTCAAATTATCATAAAAGTTATAATATTAAGCGACAGAATTGAGGTAGCTGATTTTTGTCAGTACTGTCAAGTGTCTAGGCTTCACAACCTACCAAAATATTTTGTTGACCCACTGGTATTTGTGGAACACACATATATTACCAGTCCTGTTCTAATTGGTCATTCCATAAGTTTGATTGACATTCCATTGCTGCTCTCCTATTGCTTGAGCTAAGGGTCAAAATATATGCTTGAGAAAGTCTGGCAGCATGTTGCAAAATGTTAATACACATATATTTTTAATACAAAAATATTTTTTTTGCCGATATTTATATGTGACCGACTCTGGCAAAACTAACTGTTTGTCGCAATTTCTAATTTCGCACAAGCACCCAAAATGTTGAAGAAGGATAATTTTGAACATTTTCTGCGTTTTTGTGTATTATAAAAGAAGATAACTATTGAAGAAAGAACAGTCTATTTCGTGAATACTTACCTGGATAACCGACTAATTGCCATTGTTCCCAAAACGGAACACCCCTTCGAAAAATGGAATCTAACAAGTTCTTGTAATCTCAAAAGCTTTGATGAGGGCAATATAATAGAGGCAGTAGAGCTAAAAAAAGGTCTATTATTCAACTATTAATCAGACAAGTGTTCCTAGAGCTCCTCATGAAGGCAGTAGGCAGTATAAAAGAGGCAGTAGAGCTAACAAAAATCTATCAATCAATCAACTATTAATCAATCAGATAAGTGTTTCTACAGCTCCTCATGAGGGCAGTATAATAGAGGCAGTAGAGTAAAAAGGACCTATTAATCCATCACCTATTAATCAATCAGCCTCATGTGGGCGGTGTAATGGAAGCAGTAGAGCTAAAAACAATCTATTAATCAATCAGCCGAGTGTTTCTAGAGCTCCTCATCGAAGCTAAAAATATCAAAATTTCAATTTTGCCGACAAAGGCTGGTTTTTTTGCCAGAGCCAGTCACATATGTAAATTTACTAGTATCCTGTAGCATTATATTGTTGTCTTTGTTATCGTATTGTACATCAATTTGTTTATTGTTTGTATATTTTAGCATCATTGCCGTCATTGTGGTCAAATATTTTGCAGCAAGTGCACGTCAAAGCAATGTGCAATTCCCAAGTTTGGGATAGAGCGTGACGTCCGTGTCTGCGATTCCTGCTTCATTGCTATTCCAAAGTAAGAATCCACTTATTAAATTCAATCTTATTTACTGCATGTAATGGCAACAGAACAGAAATTATTGCTATGTATTTTAACAACAAATGATAATAAGTGTTCAACGAAAGAACACTGGATGGTTTTCACCATTAAGTTCTGTTTAGACTATCAATTTATATTTCACAAAAAAATGTGTTATGCCTAAATATAGTCATGATGACATCACATCATGACCATACATAGGCACATCATGACTATATATGGGCATACAACAGTTTTTTTTGTCAAAGAAAATCTGAGAATATGCGCAGAGCTTTATATTTAACATGTTCCATGAAATATGGCTCACAAGTAGTTAGACTCATCGATTTTCAATTATTCACTTAAAATCCATAGAACCAATTAATTCCTCTTTGTTTAATATAAACATTGTTTTGTTTGTGATATTATGTTTGGATATAGACATAAAATCATGCCAACTAAATATTAGTTTAAAATTGTTTGCTTATCATGTTTTTTTCAAGTGAAAATAATTGAATTGACTCAACATTTGAAATCAATTATTGATTTTAAAAAAAATTATTGATGTTAATATTGTTTGTGGGAATCGTATGTGTTAGATAATATTTTATTAGAGAATTTCATTTTTTTTTTTTTTTAAATTTAGCACTAAATCGAAGACATCTTCAAGCACGTCAACTTCAACTTCAAAGGAAACCAGCGACCTACCAGCAGAATATCTTGCAAGTCCCTTGTCACAGCAATCACAGGTAGGGAACAGCCAGTATTCAATATCCGCCACAATGTTGTGCCAAGTTATCAACATTTAAGTCCTGTTGACACTATCAAATTTGATGTGACAAACAACTGTGATATGCCCATATTTGGGTGTAATATGACATCATCATGCCCATATATGGGTATATCAAACAGACTTGTCACTTAAAATTTGATAATGTGGACAGGGCTTTATGCTTTGTCCACACTATCAAATTTTATGTGACAAACAACTGTGATTGGTGTAATATGACATCATCATGCCCATATATGGGTATATCACACAGACTTGTCATATAAAATTTGATAATGTGGACAGGGCTTTATGCTTTGTCCACACTATCAAATATTATGTGACAAACAACTGTGACATGCCCATATTTGGGTGTAAATATGACATCATCTTGTTCATGTCCATATATAGGCACTTCACACATATTTTGAACCACATACAGTGGTTGTGCTGTGGTAGAGTATTTTTTGCTTGTGGGGTGGGGGGGCTAGGCAGGGCTAGTGTCCCCCCCCCCCCCGTCGGGGAGAAAAACCACAATTCGTCGGGGAGAAAAAAAATTATATATATTTTGTACATATTAATAGACTCTAAATCGATTAAATAAGCCTTTGAAACCCCTAAATTGTCATATTTTCGGGGGCTACGTCTCCTGGACCACTTTCGAAAGTTTTTAGCGATGCCTGACCACGCCCACTTTTTTCTCGTCGGGGACCTTGGACCCCCTGTCGGGGAAATCCTAGCGACGCCACTGCTTGTGTGCCTTGTATCCTTTTCATACGGACACAATAGACTGAGTCACAAATGCTATCGAAAAAACAAGCTTGAGTAATCCCGTCTTTTACACGGTAATTAAAGAAAATAAGCTTCACTTAAAGTCAGCAAAACTCACTTTATGTTTACATCTGAGATATCTAAGGTCACTGTTTATCTTTTATCCAAATGTCATTTGGATAAAATTAAGTGTATAATAATACTTAAGAGATCTATATTTTTATTGCATTTTTTGCCCTTAATAATGTTTTCTCTTCACTATGTCATTGTTTTTCTACTCATTGTCCAAACCAGCTTCCTGTCAGAAAGGTCAGTCGCAAGACAAAAGTGTGTCCAGAAATGTGTTTAATGTTGTAGAGTTTTGTACTTTTGTGGCGCCCACATTCATATGTTAATGCTTTATCAGTGAATCATGTTATGTTGAATAATTTTTCCTAATGCATGTATATTCCTGTGAGGGTCGTTCAACCCACTTTTAACTCATATAAATTTGTATAATTATTTCTAATTTTTGTAGTAATTTCTTTATTAGAATTTTTTTTTAAATTGTGATACTGTGAAGTAAAATTTTGTTGATTTAGTCAATAGATTTAAAGAATTTTTCTTTTAAATTCTGTAGTCTATAGATGCTATTTCCTTTATGCATTTATAAATCTGATTAATTAAGTGATAGATAGCCATGCCTGGCTTTATCAGTGAATGACATTTGAATAAAAAGTCTATTCACATAAAATAGATACATAGATAACTTAGTTGTCTTTCTTGTAAATACAAATAAGGAAATTCATCTTCCATTGGCAAATGCTAAACAAAATTAATTAAATAAATGTGCAAAATCACTCATTTGGAAAAATATTATATACAATATTTAAATTATAAATTACAAAGTGCAACAAAAATTAATTAAGAAAAAAGTCATTATAATAGGCTTATAAGTTATATGTAATCATATGCTTATTAAGTTATATATGAATATATATGAAAAGCTATTATTTCTTGCTGTTGTAATTTATTGTTGTAGTTCATATCACTGTCGTTGCCATTGATGTTACTGTTATTATTGTTCTTAATAATAATGAATGCTATAGTAAATATAGCAATGTATGTTCTACAGGTTTTATGTCCACATATCGTTTACCATATTTTGTTTTTATATAAATACTATATTTCTTTGCAGCTTCCACCTCAGAAGAATGAAAGAGAAATGCAGGAGCAGGAGGAATTAGAATTAGCCTTGGCACTGTCACTAGATGCCGCTGAAAATAAACATCTGGTAAGAGTCTATACAGTAAACATACAGTGAAACTAATTATAGGATCATCAATTCCATTGGTTGAAACCATACAGTTTATGTACAGTGGGATCCTATGGTTTGAACCTATAGCATTATGATCTTATTTGTATATGGAAACAAAAGAAAAATTCTTCAGTAAAGCTAATGTTAGTGCACTGTGATCAGAGAGCAGCTTAGCTCAGTCGGCTAAACTAGTGGTAGCCACTGTGTGTGCGCTGAACCGTGGCGATCTCTAGGTCCCCAGTTCAATTCCGATCTCTTCTCTCCTTGTGTGTCCTTGAAAAATATTACCTGAAGGCAGTTGTTGGACGAAATAATGAATTATATTTGATCGAGAATTCTTTTTATTATATTCATAAATTTTATATATTAATGTATTTTCTTGTAGATAAGTAAAGAGAAGTCTGCTACTTCAAGTACTTCAAGTAGTACACCAGCATCTTCTTACTCGGCCCCTTCCACAACTAGCACACCATATGTAAGTAAATGATGACGATGAATTTACCAAATATTGCTTTAGTAGCAGAGCAAGTTGTGACGGGGTTGATGATGGTAATGATGATGAATAGTGATGATGATGAAGGCGATTATGATGAGTATAACAGTGGTTGTGATGATGAGGATGAGAATAATACTGCGTTCTTTAGAACTTGTGAAGTCGGTGTTCCCCAGTTCACAACTTGCATTCATCTGGTCGGTTAACTTGTAAACGCAAGTTGTGAATTCGAGTAGAATTTTCTGACTTCGCTCACTGTTGGTCAACATTCTGTGGAAAAATACCATATTAGTGTCACATTTACATTCATACTAATGATCCTTACTGAAAGTAAGCAAAACCGCTTTAAGAAATTTTTGTATTAGCACATTCTAATTTTCAGTTTTTAGTATTATTGGGAAAAAAACCCACTCAAATTATTATTTTTATTATTGTTATTCCAGACAACTTCAGTTGTAGATCAAGAGGTGGATCCAGAGGTTAGTGCCATTTTTGTTTTTTATTTTTGCCCAAAAGTTTGCATGCGAACTAAACAATAATATATAAGGTTTGTAGTACACCACACATATGGTCCAATAAAGAAATATTGAAATTGCATTGTTGAAGACAATTAAGAGCAATCTATTAAAATATTTGAGATGTTCTTAGCAATGCAAAAGTTCTTATCCAAACTTTAACCAAGGTGTACTGCAAACCTATTGTAGTCAAGTTATGAGGGTTCTGCTGGGAGGAAGAACCCAAAGGAGCTATCAATTCTCAAAAAAAAATATTACCTAAATGCAATTTTTGAAAGAAATAATGCCTCTTAAGTGTTCTATTTTTTTAATCAGTGCCCAAAATAACAACAATTAATTTATAAACCATTCACTTTTTTTTTTTTTATCTCCATTAGCCTTTGCATTTCTAAGCCTATCCTATGTCCATGCTTTATTCCTCTTTGATAACACCTAAAAGTAATTAATTTTATAGGCAGGAATGGTGATCACATTTAATCATCGCCGCTATCATTGAATAATCAATAAATTTATTATATAAATTGTTCAGACCATTATTTAAATTCTTATCATTATTGCCATCATAATGGGTAAATAAAAAATTCATGATATATTATTGATGTTCTTGAAGTGTTTTCAATGTCAATTTCATTTATCCTATCAGCTTGCTAGGTACTTGAATCGACCATACTGGGAGCAAAAACAGGACATACAAGCCACACCCTCTGCTCCAGAGGCAACGCCTGCGACAGCCCCGCCAATTTCACAGTCTACCAGCCAACCAATATATGCCACGGTGAACAAAGTACAAGAGGTAAATCCTAAATATAACAAATTTTATACTCTTTTGGCAATTTTTCTATTTACTTGATTCTTTTATTTCTCGTCTTTTTTTTTAATTTAACTTCAGAACATTCCACAAATTATGTGTGTATGTGTGAGGGGGTGTGTGTGTGTGTGTGTAGAACAAGCACATGTTTGTAGCCCTTTTATGGTCACCTGATTCTACCTAATAGATCAGATAAGTATCAGTTTCACCATCACCATTCATGATGCCGTCACCCAACCTGATTAGGGGATTCTGTTAAAGATGATTGATGAGTGGTGCTGTCACCAGTATAGTGTATCAGCATTTTATTTGTCACACTGATCACTTAGGTAGAATCGGCTGTTCTAATTGGTCAGAGGCTGAGTTTGGTTGCCACTCCAGATTGTTCTATTACATATTAGTACAGTATTTCAAGCACTAAAAAGACATTAGTTTTACATTAATTTTTTAATATGTCTACCTTACCATGTCTTCTCTAGATACCGGTGCAGAATGGTGATGATGAAAAATTTGCGTTTCTTTCGGCATTGTCTGCCAGCATCGATACATTTAACAATCGCATGAACAGTAACTCGATGCGAGGGCGCAGTATCGCTAGCGATTCTACCGTGCAGAGTTTGTTTATGCAAATCAGCTCCATGCATCCGCAGCTGTTGACGATGATGCAGGAGCTTGAAGATGGTCGAGGTATGTAATCCTCTATCCAATCTATAAAATTTTATGTGTGATTTGCCCATATATGGGTATGGTATGACATTATCATGCCCATATAGGGATGTGGTATGATATCTTGTCCATATATGGGCACTTCACACAAATGTTATCACATAACACTTACCAGGGATAAAGCTTTTCTACTTTAGTGTAGAAATGTGGCAAAGACAAGCCAAACAGTCACTCGTTGCAAATCCTGTTTCAGAGATAATGGCCAAAATATGCTGAAATGTTAAAATTGTTGAAATTTATTTTATTACACTAAACTAACCTTTATGTATATATATATCATGCTATGCTGTTATTTTCCCTATTTTCAATGTTAAAAAGATTTGGTAATAGTTTCTGCCCGAGAAATGCCAAAAATCATAAACTTTGAAGGTTGACTTCTCAAATATTGTTCTTCAAACAGCTGTACGTTTAAACTCTTCATAACGAAATGTCAGATTTAAATGATTCTTTTACCATTTTATAGTTCTTATTTTACTGGTTAATCCTGTATTTATAGCTAAAAATCAATTTTTGCATTGAGTTACAGGTTTGGCTTGTCTTTGCCAAAAATGGTTTTGGAATTTGGTATGTCATGCCAAAAGACCCTTCCAGCATGTTACTGGACTGAATTACCTGGATCCCTTAATCTACCAGTGCATTCATTCACATTTTCTGATTCCCTTAGGAATTGTATGGCTTTTCTGGCACATAGCATCCATGGAGAAATCTAGGGTCTCCTTCTGGATACCTGTTGGTGTAAGGCTCTGTGTGTTATTCCTCTTTCTTGGGATGGGCTTCCATGAGGATAGGACTTTTTGGGAATAGTGAAAAGTTACTTTTCTGGGATAGGGATGGGCTTTCTGAAATTGGATATCCTATAGAGTGATAAGATTAAGATGGTTTCCTTCCCTGTTCTAAAATCTGCAACAGTGTGAGTGCTTAGTACATTTGTTGGGGGTCAGGGTTTGGTTGGTACAGTGGGTTGGGCTCAGGGTTTGGTTTGCTTGGTACAGTGGGTTGGGGTCAGGGTTTGGTTTGCTTGGTAAAGTGGGTTGGGGGTCAGACTTTGATTCACAGGTTGTTGGTCATTCCTGTGGTTTTGTCTCTCTATCAAGGTGTATAAATGAGTTGTGGTAGTATATACTGACAAATTGAATGTTATAAGCATGTGTGCAATGCAATGCAACTCCACAAAAGCTGAGAAAATTCTGTGTTTCCCATTAAGGATCTGTTGACCAAGTGATGTTATGCTTTGATATTCATAAACCAAAACAAATTACCACATATTATTATTATTATTATTATTATTATTATTGTTATTGTTATTATTATTATTATTATTATTATTATTATTATTATTATTATTATTGTTTAACTATTATCCTTACCAAGCCAAACAAAACAGTTAATATATTAATGTTGATATTACTAGCAAGAAACTGGCAAGGTCACCCATCTGTTTATATCAAAAGTTGACATTCTTAAACTGAAACTCGATTGGTTGGTTTCATTTTTCTTAAGTTTTGCTAGAGATCTTATCTGATAATTATATTATGGTAAGAAGTTTGCGAGAAAAGTTGGATGAATTAAGGAAGGAGTGCTCAGATTGGAACCGGGACCATCAAAGTACAGTAATTTTCAAAATTAATAAGAGGGATATTAGTCTGCACCAAACATGCCTGTTTATTTTTTTTAACACCTGGGATGGTCTTCATTTTTTCTTTATTATTGATCAGAAACATCAGGTTTATGAATTCACTGTCAGCTATGTGTCTGCTCTACTAACCCACAGTTTGGTCATTTTTATGTACACCATTAACCGGGGTGGTCCATTCATCAATGCTGGGATAAGCTGATCGTTAGGGATACTCAATGCCATATAAATAAAGTCTATGGGTTTGGGGAGTGATGTTTATTGGTTGTGAGGGAAAATAGAAGCCAACACCTTTGGGATTGGAAAGATATTGTTATGTGAGGTCATGACAGTATGTGCCTTATAAGTTCACCATTATCATTAGCATCGTCATTGTCACCACCTAAATCCATTTTTCTAATGTAACATTCCTCCTCGTTCATTAACTTTTGTTTTTTATTCCGAATCGGCATAGATATTCCTCCTGTTTGTCTTGTGATGCCCCTTTTAAAATGTTGTTCATTTATTTATTCCAATCATCAATCAGTCAGTTAATCAATCACTTATGCAATTCGATTACACTTTGTTTTAAAAAAAAATACAAGAATGAGGCCCTTCCTTTGAATTTTTGTTTTGTCACTCTCACCGCACTTCCACATTCAGCTAAGGGCTAGGCCCAGACACCAACTGATTTACTCTTCATTTTAATGAGGAAACTTGGATTTATTTGGGTGTTATACCTTTTAATATTAAAAGAAAGCAATTTGAATATAATGGCATTATTTATGTGTAGGTGATTGTTTGGTTTGCCAAATTTTTTTTTTGTAATTATATTTAATCACATTGTATTAATTGCATTACTTGTTTTGTGTTTTTATTGTGTTTGCCTTATTAATTGATCTGGTATTGGTCTTCAAATACTTAGGTTATGGTCTGGTCTATGAGAATTTTTCATTACACCAATTTTCTCACATTCATGTAATCAATTTTCTTCTCCATTGTTTTAAATGCAAAAGTTAGGCCTTACCCACCAAAGTTTTAACCACAGAATATCATAAACTAATTTTAAAAAGATAATTCAACTAAAGCAAGATGAGAACCAAAAGTAAATACAATAATACAATTAATATGTGGAAAATAGACACAAAAAAACCTGATATAGATACACACTACAAACATTTTAAATAACAAATGTGTTGATGTTGGGAGTTGAGCAGTGTCTTAGTGGGTATGGTGTTCATATATATATATATATATATTTTTTTTTTACAAAACAGAAACAGTCTCCAAGCCTTCCAAAAGGCTTGTTATAGAGCAATGGCCCCAAATGATTGACGTGGTATTCTTTTATTATCTTGATAAGTTTGGAATAATTATCTAAGGCAAGTTATAATTAGAATTTCATTTTTGTTCTTGCAGCCAACATGGAGGCTTTACAAGATAAATTGGCCCAGATAAAAGATGCCAGAGAAGCACTGGATGCATTGAGGGAAGATCATCGGGAGAAGTTGCGGCAAGAGGCAGAGGAAGCTGAAAGACAACGCCAGATACAGCTTGCTCAGAAGCTGGAAGTTATGAGACAGAAGAAACAGGTAAATAATTTCTTAAAGATTCTTCTAATATTTACAACTTTAAAACTAAAAGTTTTTGTTACTACAGTGCTGCTAAAAATACTTTTTCCTTGCAGGAATATCTGCAGTACCAACGACAGATAGCAATGCAGCGCCTTCAGGAACAAGAGAGAGAGATGCAGATGCGTCTAGAGCAGCAGAAATATCACCAGCAGATGAGGCAGATGCAGTACATGCCTGGCATGGGGATGCCACCACAAGGAATGATGCCAGGAATGGTACAACATGGCATGATGTCACAAGGTATGCAACCAGGAATGACTCACCAGTCAGGGATGGCAGGAATACAACAGCCACCGCAAGGTATGCAGCAACCGCCACAAGGGATGCAGCAACCTCCGCAAGGGATGCAGCAACCGCCACAGGGGATGCAGCAACCTCCGCAAGGAATGCAGCAACCTCCGCAAGGGATGCAGCAACCTCCGCAAGGGATGCAGCAACCTCCTCAAGGGATGCAGCAACCTCCACAAGGGATGCAGCAACATTCGCAAGGAATGCAGCAACCTTCGCAAGGAATGCAGCAACCTCCACAAGGAATGGCTCCTCAGAATATACCACCTCAAGGAATGCAGCAACCACAATATGGACAAGTAAGACNNACAGCAGGACGGTGGCCATGGAAGTCGGACCCCGCTAAGGAGTGATTAACATCCTGTCTCTTATACACATATAGATGTGTATAAAAGACAGTATATATAGAGAGAGAGAGAGAGAGAGAGAGAGAGAGAGAGAGAGAGAGGGAGAGAATACACTACATTAGGTGTACAACAAAAACTTTCTCATAATTGTTTATGGTTTCCATTAGTAACTTCTTTTGTTCGAAGTTCTTATCATTTGTTTTGTTGATCTACTTCAAAAAAGATAGAATGATAGGTAATATATATTATTTTTTTTTATCTCTTGCAGACATTTAATACTCCCAGTTCAATGCATGGTTCACCATCGCATGTACCATACCAGCAACAGCCCGGGCAACCACCCCAGCAGACAATGGAGCAGTCCATGCAACGTCCTGCTGTACCGCAAGGATACAACCAACCACCACCGCAATACCAAGGCCAAGCACAACAAGCCCCTGGAATTCAAGGCCCTGTCACTGGCTATCAGCCTATGCAGTACCAAAGCTCCCAACAGTTTTCCTCACCCAACACACCCATGGAATATACACAAGCCAACCCTTATAATATGCAGAGCATGTCCAATGCACTCCCCCAGTCAAATCAGCCATACGGTGCACCCCAGGGACAGATGTATCAAGGGGGTGAAATGCCACCCCCAGCGCAGGTTCCGCAACAGGCCCCACAACAGGTTCCACAACCAGCTGAAGCATCCCTCATATCATTTGATTGATCCAACAAGTAATGTAGACTAAGCTTGCATTCATCCTGTGAAAATCTCAATGTCCTGTGTTTTCTCTTCTTTGATTGGCACTCCGTGGCAGATTACCGTAGTTTGCTTATATAAGCCCACTCCTATACCTTTTGTGTAATTTTCATGTAAAATGCTTTACTATTGTTATCCAAACAACCTAACATCAAAGGTTTTGAAGCAGGTATGAAATATAGCTCATTGAAATTTAGCATATAAACAATTTGTTGCCCTAATCCGAGGGTACATAGACCTCCCTAGGCTGGGCTCTTGTGTAAGGTGTTAGCTAGATCTATCCAGCTTAAACTTACTTGTGGACTCAAAAGTCTTTCAATTTTCTAGTCTGCAAGTAAAATCCCTTCTTCCCAACATGACCCAACCTCATATTCAAAGGACTGGGCTTATTTATAAGGAACTATGTTAATGCTTAATTGCCGCTATCAGAGGATAATGCGAGACTACTAGTTTATACCGTTGTAATAAAGGTTCTCTTTATAAATAGAAATTTATTAATTAAATATATTATAAGTTACCAATGAATTAATAAATTTTATTTAAACAGAAATTATTTTGTAGATCTAAACAGTAATTATTTTGTAGCTCCAATCTGGTCAATCTGACCAGTTCCCAAACCAATTATTTTAGATATATTATATTCACATAGTTTTGTTTTTTTTGTCAGTGGTATATGTTATAAAATAGAAAAAGTTGGAGTTCAGTGGCTTGTTAATTTATTACTGTGTACCTGGGGCGGATGCAATGGGGTGCTGATGGTGCAATCGCAACACCCCCCCCCCCCAATTGTATTAAGTAAAACACTTGATGTCAGTGGCGTATCTAGGGGAGGACGCGGGGGGGCTGGCACACCCCCCCACAATTACTCGCAATCACGGTCAAGTAGTTTAAAATCACCATATTTTGCAAACTAGCACCCCTCAACTGATCATCGAGTCCCCCGATCAGCACCCTCT